TTCTTCCTGTCAAGTGTTCGCGCCCCGAGACCCGTAAACGTTCCCGGGGCTGGAGAAGAAGGCGCACCCAATGAGCAGCGCGTCCGTGCACGACCACTGTACGATGTTCCTTTTCTGTTCGAAGCGAGAGAACAGTTGCGCTCTTTCGTTGGAAAACCGGTGAGTATTTATATTCACATTGCTTAGTTTTCGGGTTCTATCTGGTTATTTACAGTTTTTTTCGTGATATCCGCTGACCTTCCACTATAATGCTCAAACAATACAAGTAACCATAAAAAAGGAACACTGGGGCGAGTTTCCATGATAACGGCTATCGTACCATTTTATAAATAAGTACATCAACATGATCGTTTGAAGCGCTTATCAAAACATTGAATCCTGCTCAACTCACCGATTATTAGCTACAATATTGCTGTCGTTTTTATCCAATTTCATGTACAAAAACCGAATAAACACAAAACATTCGATCAGGTCAGTCAGTCATGGTTGAGCCATACCTTTCCAGACAATTTCAATACATTCTGAATTTCCACGTTTTATGTATCGGTCGATTGGTGATTAACGGCTGACATGTTTTCATTTTCTGAATAGTAAACAGCACTAACTTGCGCTCTTTTTTCCACCGTACACGTCCTTTCAGGTATCCGTGCATGTAGACTATATCCAACCGAAATTGGCCACAACAATGGACGAGCGTGCTTGCGCGACCATCCGATGTGGTGCGACCAATCTGGCCGAATCCCTTGTCTCTAAGGGTCTAGCAAGTGTCATCCGCTATCGTAATGCAAATGATAATCGGAGCTCATCTTATGCTGAGCTACTTGCTGCTGAAGAAGATGCTCAAACAAAAGGATTGGGCATGCACAATAAAAACGAACGTCCAGTTCATCGTGTAGCTGATTTGACCGGTAAGCGAGCGAAATTTGATCGACTGATCGAGCGTCATCACTGGTTAGGCCAACCTCTGTGTACCAATGAGTGATCCAATAATTCCGAAGCTTCTCACACGTCCTCATTTTATTTATCGGAATGATTAACAGAATTAAGTGAAGGAAGAAAGTTTTCGATGTGATTAAACACGCCATTCCTAATCATCATAATCATCATCATAGTACAGCGAAATATAGTAAAGTGAACTTGACTGGCCGCTGCCAAACTCGTGATGCATACAAAATTAGTGATAAAATGTAAGCAAGGTTTACAGAGACTGGACCTAATTTGAGGGGGTTGGGAGAAGGAACCTGCATGGTTATCACAGCATACACAGTTTAACTGTGTATACATACCGTTTTCGGCATTCTGGCCTGATTAATAATAAGAACGCCTCTGCTGTCGGTTTGCTTCAATGTCTCCAACCAACCAGTTGCAGTGTTTCACATCCCAACCTCGTAGTCTCGAGGCNTACTGTACTTAATAGCTCTGTGCATTTCTTCATGCCTCATCTCCACGTTATCTGTTCAATTCCACGCGGTTTCCCCCAGCCCGAAGAGGCTACAGCGAATAAAGCGCGCTACGGCAAACGACAGCTGGGCATACGCAATAAGCGCCCTAGCCAGCGAAGCCTACTAATCTGAATTCGATGACCTAACAAGTTTATCCCCGATAAAATTTCAGACACACAACGGCTTACTTCCAGATTACTAACTCGTTTACTCCATCCCACGTGAGCTGAACTATGTAAGCACAGATATTCGAAAACCTCTAATCGATATCTTATACTCGCAAATTCAAGATCTCACAACCATGAATCAGAACTAAACGAACGGCATCACAATATACACGACCTTTCAACTGCATTGGAACGTCGCGTGTACACCGAGCGTTTTTCAGACCTATGTCTCAAATATCTATCCATCTACCTATCTATGTATATATATATATATATATCACTGTGTGATAGTATTGATTGTGACGTTCGATCCAGAGTAGGGCTCGCCCAACAATAATGTGTATCAAGGAATTGAGTCTGCTGGTGTCTCGCGCTATGGTTTGTCCAAAAATCCCGCGTTCCTCATTGATTATACAATCGTTGCCCAGTGTTTATCGATTGACTGAGCGCTTGAAGGTTCAGGCGTTACCCTTCCTCGTTATCTGTCGTTGCGTGGTGGTTCCAGAGTTGTGACTTTGAGTCAGTGCGTCGTAGTGCAAGTGTGTTCGTGTAGGCGAGTACACAGTTGTTTGCCTGTCTCTTCTACTTAACGTTAGTCACCGCTTACGCACCATCCTTGATTGGTCGTGTGGTTCTCCTTTGAACAAAATTGACCATAATGTTGTTGTAGGTTTGTGAGCAATAGTAATACCCGGAGGGCGAAGGATGCAATCGACTATTTCTAATACCTCATATATGTATGGTAGTAAGCGTTCCGTTTGCTTCTATTTATCCTTTCGTTTTATTTTCCCCCTAATGTATGATAAAACGTTCGGGGATATACATTTGTACTTAACGGATGGACCAAATGCATTCGTTTTGGAGCCGAATTTCCATGCTGCAATGTGTCTGGACAGCAGAACAAAGTTAATCTGTACTTGCACCCGATTGATTGTTGTTGGTTTCCTTTACACGGTGTTTCCGTCTGCTTTTCGTATGACGTGGACGTCCAAGAAAGGCAGCTTTGTATTGTCTTGCCCCTGTGGGCAAATGCCAGACTCTGGCATAACCTTGCATCATGGTATTGTTCAATTCTAGCTGCTGGTAGCACCACTGAGGTGTCCTCCCAATATCGGATCCAGAGACAAGGACGGTATTCTTCAAATGTCTTGGCTTCAGATTGTTTCATCATCGCATCAGATAGCAGACCGGATATTGGTGATCCCTTTACGGTTTGCTTTTACCAGTCGATATATATATATATATATATATATACGCTGTCACAATAGTCAGTTCCCAACTTAATATGACAAGGTGAACAATAGCAATGATTGCCGTCGATTTTCCTTGAATTTTAGGACAGTATTCAGAGATTTCTGAGTGTCGGGAGAAATGTTGTCGACTACGAAAGAACGAGAACGACAAATATATGCTTTTACCTGACCTGTTTGTAGCTCATTTCCTCCCGGTCAGAAGCATGGTCCATTAAAATTTCATACTCCGCCAGTCAATGGATAGATCGATCAACTAATCCGCCATTATTCTCTTGTTTTGTTTCAGGGAACCTCGCAAAAGCTCGACAGTTTCTTCCATTCCTTCAGCGAAATCCTCGAACTGAGGGTATTGTTGAATTTGTGGTTCATGCTAGCCGCCTTCGGGTCTACTTACCTCGAGAAACTTGCATGAATACACTTCTTTTGGCTGGAGTTCAGTGTCCCCGCCGAGGCAGGTCAGTCTAACAATCCTCGTATTCACTACGTATCAGCGGTATGTCGTCCGGGAAGTCGCAGTAAATGATTTTCCTTTTTTCTTTAACAGGCCCAAACCTGATGGCACACAAGAGCCAGATATGCCATTCAGCGTCGAAGGTTATAACTTCACCAAGGATTTGTGTATGCAACGCAATGTTGAAGTAACTGTTGAAACAATCGATCGGGTGGGAAACTTTGTCGGATGGTGCTTCCTGGATGCTCCTGATAGTGGGTCTAAACAACAAGGCGCTGACGGTCAAAAGTCGGGTAAGAAAAAGAAGAAAGGTGTGGATGCGACGTCTACAAAACCGAAGGTCAATCTAAGCGTGCTCTTAGTCTCACAGGGTCTTGCTACGGTCCATCGAGCTCCTTCCACAGAGAACTCACCATACTATCATGATCTTATTCGGGCTGAAGACAGTGCCAAGTCTGCTAAAATGGGTCTATGGTCTTCTGAAGAGTTTGTTAAACAATGGGAAGCAGAAGCAAACGCTTTCGACGTTGATGAGACACAAGGCGCCGAACACGACATTGTGCTCCCCGGTGGTGTTCGTACCGGTTATGTGGACGACTTCTCCCTATTGAATCTAAATGGTCCCGAAGCGAGCCAGGAGATGCCGAAAGTAAGTCGAATGCTTAAACAGAACATTTCGCCCGATAAAACGCTGAACGCAAGAGATCAACAATTCCATGTGCGTCCAATTCTTATTGTCCATCGTTCAGAGTTGGATCTCAACACACACGATAGCAGTTACCAATCATAGGTTGAGCACAATGATTCACTTGACAATGCTAACACTCGTACTCTGTACCAGCCACACGATGATCTGAGGAGTCTTTACTGAAGCCGACAATTTGTTCAAGCATAAGATTTGAAATAGTCCAGCTATCTCTCTCTAATCACTAAATCGGTTTGGATTTCTAACCATTTCTCTGGAATATAAATATCCGCGTCACTCCATAACATTGAGAAACATTCCGAGCGGATTTCTCGGATAATTAGTTCTTTTTCATCCTTGTGGTTATGGTTTCAGTTAAAATCATAGCGGTTAGAATCGCACATATTGAGCGTTGCATAAGGTGCGGATGTGAAGTCACGGAATGCAAAAAGGATATTCTTAGTGGTGAACAGTCGTATAAAATCTTTGAGAGAAGAGAATGGGCTAATTTAAGTCGACTATCATTTATCACCTACAACAGTCGTACAAATTGCTACTCTAAAACCGTCACCCTACCATCGGAAGCGAACAACACTGTTACTATTCGAACTGGTTTGATGCTACCCTTGCATGCAATAGTAAACTTGTTAACAGACTGTCTCACTGGTTTCGATTGCACACCATTGTGAACAGTTCTTCCGCTCACGAATTTTAAATTTAACAGACGGTCTTAGTGTAGAACTGAGAACTTCAACGACTATGATTCTTTAAACACATTTTTTAATCTCCCCCTTTTTCAGTTGGATTGGAAACCGGTACAGATCACAGCATTCTCGCGACCAGCCGGTGGCGAAGGTCTTCGATTTTTTGCTCAACATCTCTCTGACTCTGCCACTATCATGCAAATCAGTCGTGGCTTGAACTCACAACCTATTCCTGTAGTTCCTGGGTATCAACCAGAGAAAGGTGAAATCTGTGCGGCAGCGTTCACGGCCGATAATTGTTGGTATCGGGCCCGTGTTGTGCGTCGCAATCCGAAAGGTGTGACTGTGCAGTACATTGATTTTGGAAACGAGGAAACCATCGACGCAGCGGACATAGCTGTGCGCACTGCTCCGCTTCCTTCTGGTCCGTTCAAGAGTGTTCCTCCTCAGGCACATGAGTACAGACTCGCTTTTGTTCAGCTTTCACCCGAGGCCACCGAACGAGCCATTGCTGAGCGTGAATTTGCGAAACTGGTGATGAATAAAGAGGTGCTCCTTGCTATGCAATTCGAAAATGTGCCCTGTGCTTACGAAACGNGAGTACAGACTCGCTTTTGTTCAGCTTTCACCCGAGGCCACCGAACGAGCCATTGCTGAGCGTGAATTTGCGAAACTGGTGATGAATAAAGAGGTAATACACTTCAGTCTTACAGATTATGATATGATAGCTAATCCTGTTTTCTTCGGGGTTTATTATAAATGACCTACCCACACCAAAAAAACAAACCATGCACAGATCGCCCTAATATGATACACGTCGCATGATTCCACAGTGATTGCAGCTCAACGACAATAAAAGAATTAAGCTTCACGATATCCGTCTAGAACTTCCGGTGTTTTTCGAAAAAAATGGGGCATTATCATCAGAAAGTCATTCGTAACATCGTTCAATTAGATTTGGATAAATCTCATTCCTGAACAGGCGCCAGTTCGAGGGAAACGTTCAACCTTTCACTGTTCTGGTGATCCGTGGTTTGTGTGGAGGCAATTTGGTCAGTCGAGCGGTATGGGTCTACCACCGGCGTGCGTTGGTCCTGAGGATACGGAGTTCGAACGCGGATACTGTCATCCAACGTTGATGGTAGACAGCTTCGCCCAAACTACCGCCGAAAGTCTCGGGTTACCGTAGGCCCTCGTCAGTATGAGGTTTGCCATTCCTCATTTCCATCATATTAGTGTAAACGTACACAGGCATCACACAGACATTGACCCATGTTTCGATTTACCCAGAAATCAGATAATCAATCCCATTGTCCCTAAGTAGTCAATGCTTGTGATAAACTGACTCAAAATGTTCTTATTCCTATCAGCTTAGTCCCTCATTATCTAAATAGATTTCAATACCCTCTACTCGTTCCGAGTAATAACACGTTCAAGCACGCATCTGTATACTGCGCCTCGGTTCCCTTATCTCCCGCTTTCTATGTAATAGGGACCGCATTTTCCATGATTATTTTCACAACTTTGAGTTGACTCCAAACACGTAAGATATTCATAGGTCTTTTGTTTCTCTGGGGCATTTGGTAACAATTTAGCGAATGGGCACTTAATTCACTAATCCGATTGTTCAATCTAGGTGCTCCTTGCTATGCAATTCGAAAATGTGCCCTGTGCTTACGAAACGCTGAAACCGGTTCCAGCAGTTGCCTTGCGTGTTCCTCCGAGTGCTGCACCGGTCTCGGGATCGTCGGCCTTCTCCGGGAAGACTGATGGCGATGATGTGGTGGAACTTCTTTTGGAAGAAGGTCTGGTGTGTGTGGAACCAATGTCACCTCAGCTTATCAAGCAGTTGCATCGCACCAATGTACGAAACTATTTGCAAGCACAGGCTAACGCAAAGAAGGAACGGAAAAATATTTGGTGCTACGGCGACTTCCGCATCGACGACACACAGCAGTAATGTTTGTTACATCTGTCTTGTTCGCTTTGTGCCTTTCTGATGGCGTTCCATGTCTCTATCGAATAATTCCCATACATCGTCGGTTTTCCCTCCCGTTACTTGGCCTTTATGCTCCTCCGTCTGTCCGCTGTTCATTAGTCCAACAGGGATTGACAGTGGGCCTCACACGTGACTAATGCGATATGTATTTCTCAGATGGCATCAGGTTTGTTTCTTGCTGCCACCACCACGGCTGCTGTTTCTTCTTTGTTTTCATGTATGTTAGTTTTCTATGGATCCGAATTGGGAAATCAGTGTTGCACATGTTTTTCTCTTTCTTGCTCTTGTCTGTGCAAGATAGCTACCTTGTCATTCTGGTCCTGTGTAGATTGTTTCAGTTTGTTCCAGAACCATCGCTGTCCTCAATGCTGACTATCTTTCAAGTGGCCTGAACAAAACAAAACAATTCACCTACTTAATGTCCAATGATATTCCGTATGTTTTCATTTTTGGTTGAATTGTGTTTGGTCTTAGTATCCGCCGGGACAGGCCATCTTTGATTGAAAATCGGCGACTCGTGATCGATGATTGCAGTGTCTTTCGAATAAAGCAAACATATATAGCATTTTCACTCCGTTTTTTTTTAACATTTTGACCGGCCTCTTCTCAGTGATAAGTCGCGGGGATAATGAGGCCGGTTATCACCTTGGAGGAAAAAGTTTTCCTGAATACTAGAGGTATTTCAATCTTGCATATGCTGTATTCGTGAACCTGCTTGTAACCACCTTGCCACATGTTCATCATTCGTCACGCAACTACCCGGTTAATCAACAAGCGCAATGGTGAAGGAACCTGCATTGACAGTATTCCACCCACTTATAAAGATTATTGTAGCACGATTTGCTTAGGGCACAGCCCGGATTCAGACGTGTGTCTTGCTCCATTAGCAAAGCCATGACGACTAGACTGCGCCTTGACGTGGTGTGATAGCTTGTGCCTCCATGACACTGCAAGCTATACAGGATGGCTCCCAAGCCGCAGATCCAATCATACATTAAAGGTTAATAGGTACGGGCCGGACGAAGATCAGTCTCTCGAGGCCAGCTGCTTATGCACTCCAGCAACACGNGAAGGGGCAGTTTACAGGTAAAAAAACCCTCTCCTTAAAGCCGTCTATCACTGGTCGTTCGAACACGTGTGTTTTACTTCACTGCTGATTATTTCACTAACCGGGACAACTCGATCTTTGACTTTGACTGTTCGATTAAGCATGTTCTTCCACCCTGCTAGATATTTTTATCTACCATTCTTCAAGGTCTTTCGTAGATGAGCATCAAACCGGAATGGGTGTTTTCGGATCCTGCGGAGGTAAACCGTGCATACGTTTTTATTTTGTCCGTTTGATATGTGCTAATGCTCCTCCATCGCCATCACTGATCCGAGAGAGGTTTAACGTCTTGCACTAGCTTTCGGCTTCGGTACACAAGCTTTCGCTGCCAAAAGCATCACATCTAATCTGATTCCGTCCTTCGTATACTCCGCCTCCTGACCGTCTCAACAGGCTGAGACCAATCAACTTTTGAAAAGATTTGATCGGTTGAATCTGATCTTGTTTTCACGCGCCTTTAACAACCAGTTCTAGTTCACTCGTGGTACTGAGGAGTCATTTCATTACCTGACTGAGCGGCTCATGTTGGTTGAATTGGTTCACTTTCGCCTGCATCACTGCAGTCTCATTCCCTAACAACATTGAATGTGGCAATAGGTATTTTATTCATGGAGTCAATTTGGTGGTAAATTGTATTTCTTAATGTAAGCAAGGCTTGATCAAATTCGAAGACTACGGTTTTGGTACATTGAACTTCTTTTATCATAGACAATGCTTTTAGGCGAAAGAGCATGAGCTAAGAGCAATAATAGGAGCGGAGAACTGGTTTAAAATCACAATGTCGTACAAAGTAGCATGTTAGAAGATAGTGAGAAATAAAAATTAAAAAACATGGTCAAAACGCATTACTTTCCATGGAATTGTCAAAGAGCAGACAGCGCCAAAATCGCTTCTACGGAAGAATTGTACGGTCGGTCTTCGGACCAAATGTGTGTAGCCGTGCATGGTTTTCTTGGGGATGCGGTTGTTTCACTGCCCGACCACGACCAAATGGAATCAATTCATTTGCCGCCGACGTGCTTTTTGTTTGTCGAAGCGAGCCTCCATTTCTTCCAAGATGCGTGGTGTGTAACGAACTACCAGCTTGACGGTACCTGAGGTTCACGGATTAGGTAACAAGGAAGTTGGTGCAGTGCCAGAGTCGCTTCATAACTCTGATCATTGTTATCGTAAAGGTGATCGATGCCAATGTTACAGTGCATAAAGTGTACGAGGGGATTGTCTTGCGGGAAACAGAGTAAAGGCTTATATAGAAAACGTTCCGAATTCAAGACGACTGACTTCACAAGAAATACCATCACAAACACTACCAGTTGAGTCGTGTCCCTCAAGGTCACGATGGTTGGTATGAAAATTCGGAAGATGTGAGATACTGCTGTATCTTCCAGTGAACTTAGTCTACCCGGTCTCTACCACATTTGTTGACTTCGAGATGTCTCTATTCGTATTTGGGCATCGAATTACAATATCTCGTGAACAACCCTCAAGTAAGTAAACCCGGATGTTCATTTCCTTTCGAAAATGTTTTACTGGTCAGCCGCGTACAAAAGGATCTCCACAAACTGAATACAGGGTGAACTCTGAGAAACCACCACTGACAGTATCTACATCAAAAGATGTCTCGGGTGGCGTATGGTGCCAGACCCCTGATACGTCACGCATGTGCATGGGTACTAGAAACGCTGGATGGCAGTCAGTTCCTCATTATCGATCTATTATACAAGGGAAGTCAATGACCAGTCTTGTAGAATCACTGCAAATTTTGAAGTGCTTACCGATTAGCGCAGCAAGAGCGACAATTCTATCACGTATATGAAGTCAAAAAAGGATACTCTTGCGGCGGTGGTGGCTACATCGCTGCCCGTCTTCCCTATTTCTATATTTTCTCAGGTAGCCTTTGTATGGCCGCGGCCCCGTTCCAGAAAGTCCGTGGTACATATGTATGTTCAATAAATAAAAAAGTAAGTTAGAGGGAGTTTATTTTGAACACTGCCATTGGTTCGGAGCGAGCAGCTTACTGCACCAACGTAAACCGGAATCTGATCACCTAATACTTTTGAAGCTTTCCCCTCTTTGTACCGATTAGTAATAATTATGGTTCGCCAAAACGGATCCCGTGTCAGAACTGAAGAGTGAGCAGTAAGTGTGTTGGTTGAAAAGGAACTGACTCGGTCAGCGAGGACTGTGAGAAAATATTGATACGATCGTGAGCTAATTGTCTTAAAAAATTTTTATTACACCTTTGTGCAATGAACATCAGACGGGGCGAGGCCCATAGGCACGAGGACCAGCTGTTCAATGATGGAAACCGGTAACCTAAGCCCCGCGGGACTTGGAGTGGCGAACCACACCAAGCCATGCTAGATTAGACATAGTATTGGACCGCACGACTTGGATAAAGCACCAACCAAGTGGCCGTCATCCGAAACTATTCCTGAAGGTGTCTAAAACCATTTTTCCATTGTTTAACCAGTTGAGGGTACGCAAATGACAAATATGAAAATGCAACGGTCGCGTTCGTTGAAATGGCGGGACGGAGTCAAATAACAAGGGAAATAGTTCAAGAGTTTCTAGTCTTACCTTGAGCTAATTTAAGGAGTTCCACAGCACGTTCATGATGTTCACTTTCCACTGAGATTCCATTAACAGACAAAAGCTGATCACCCCGCTTGAGACCCCCATGTCGATCAGCCACACCCCCGGGAATAATTCGGCTAATGTAAATGGGGGAATTCTGTTCTTTTCCACCCATCACATTAAATCCGAGTCCTTCATCCGTTTTGGGAAGTTCCACTACACGCGGATGGGCGTGACCTTCGCTTGCGGCGAATGCAGCCACTGTAGCCTTCGCAGTTGCACTAGCTTTGACCTGTGAGGAAAGGGCGAAATGACAGATGTATGAGCATCATAAACTCTAACGATAGAAAATTGACAATAAAGGAATTTTGGAAATCTTTACGCTCGCACTACTCTGGTGGATGCCGAATACCGGCTCCGTTCGGAGCTTGATGATGCGGGATTCAGTGGCTGTACAAATAGAAAGAGGGGTATCGATTTATTACCGTTTACGTGAAATTAATCTGAGAGGGGAACACAGTCGGCGAATAGAATCGTCGTGTCTCAGTGTTACATCTGAGTTGAAGCCCTGTGGGTTCCGTTTGAGAACAGTTCAAAATTAAGGGAAGCGTGGATTTGTAACAATCGAATCTCTACAATTCGATGGAGCTGTACAACTTCACTTTCAAATTCTAGACAAGATGATTCTTTTTTACTGTTTTGTACTCACCACTTTCCAGAATGTTATAATGCGTGACGTCACCTGTGTACGAGAGTGTGTATTTAATTTTCCTGTCCGTATCGCTAGAGACAGCTATTGTTGTCAAGTAACTTCATTCATGAGGGGACAACAAGTGCATTTTACTCGAAGGTTTACCTTACCGAATACTTTCAGATCATTGGAAAGATGTTTAAAGGGAAAACATCAACATTCCTCATAACCAATTTATCTATGACGACTTGAACAATTTATTAAACTTCAAATGTTCAATGGGGCGAAGCCCCGAGCTTCATTAATGAGAACAATAACTTTTGCGGTGGTTTTCAGCAATGAAGACGAGACTGCACCTTGACGTTGTATGATGGCTCGCCTTCGAGCTATGCAGGATGGCTGTTCAGATCCGCAGACCAAACCATGCCTCAAAGGTCATTGAGTATAGGCCAGACGAAGCTAAGGCTCACAAGGCCAGTTGATTGCGCATCTGCTGGCTTCCTTTGACTATCCACTCGTTCCTGGAGCGGTATACCGGTTAAAAACGCCCGCTGGGTGTGCGTATTATCGGGTTATCTGATGCAATGAAAAACTGTTGGCAATAAGTGAGGCGCAGCTAATCCGATTACATTAACCAGTTCTGTGCGCCCAAAAGTTGTCGATCCAATCACTTCACTTGCCGTGGAGTTGACTTGTTTTTAATTCCAATTACCACTATCCGACTGTTCATGTCAGTTCCCTAGGATTTAAAAGTCCAATGTGCTTATTTGTTTTACGTCAGCGATTGAGAAAAATAAACGAAATGTTAACATCTCGCGACGTGTGTCTTCTTCTGTTCTTGATACGATGGATCAAGGGGACTCAGTGTTTTACATATCTGATTCTTTACTTTGGTTGGAGCATGTGGTACGCATATTATCGAATAGATTTCCACGGCGTGCGATGTTTGTCGAGACAAGTAGTTAATGGGAAAATCCAAAGACCCGGCTTTAGGGTACGAAAACTGTGATCAGGATCCTGGTTCACTTAGATCGCTTTTGGTACCTTGGATGAAGACCTCAGAATCAGTGAAACTGATGGTTTGAGATGATGATGGAGTTGGCTGTATCGTAGACTGGCGCTGGTGCATATCTTTTTCCTTGCAACCTTAGTATTCATGAGTTTTTTTTCACCCTAACAGATTTGAACATTAGAATCTTCGCCCTACTTCTTCATCGAAATGGACAGTCATCACACAGCAACAAAAACCGATGCACGAACCTGGAAGATGAGAGACACTTATTCTACCTGACAGCTCTGTGCATTTATTCAGACCTCGATTCTACATCATTAGTTTAACTCGACGTGTTTTTTATTGTCTGGAGCGTCCACACCAAATAAGAGACGGTGCGGTGGGCGACTGTTAAACATGCGCAAAGCGTATCCTAACCAGCGGAGCCTTTCCAAGCCGAATTTGATGTGACACTGACTTCTTCATCAGGACATTGCCAAATGCCCGGCGGCTTAGATTTAGGTTACTAACGCACTAAATCCATCCGATTTGGGCTAGATTACTAAGCATTGATTGTCAAAAACCTCCAGGGGATGTACGTCTTTAACCTGCAAATTCAGGGTCTCAACCGCACAGCTGAGCTAATCGTACATCGGCACAATATACTTGCCAACTTCCTTGAAACGTCACGTCGCCACAGGCGCTTTAGTTCTGCGCATGCTGCATAGGCCTTGGAAATCTGGGCGGTTATGTCACTTGATGCGCTACCGTCGCTGGTCAAGAAAATACCCAAGGACGAGAAGCAAGTAACTGGAACAATTCGTGGTCATCTAGTTCCAGAACATGACTTAGCGATAACTATTCTTGTAGCATCACTTTGCACTTGAAGGTGCAACGTGCATACGGAACGGAGCGACAGAACTTGCTGGTCAGTTAAGTGAGATTTGTGCGTCCCCCATACATTCCAATAGACAAACGATGTCATCAGCGTACTTAAATTTGCACAGCCTTTCTATAGCTGATTAATCAATACCAGAATCTGGGGCAAAACCGGATAGGTGAATCACTGGCAGTCCATCCAGGGGAGGTTGTTAAAAACCTTAATTTCAAACCAACCAAGAGGTGTACGAAACACCCACATCTTTCAAGTCGTTATATTGGTCACCGGCTCAATTGGGCGTGGCGTATTGTGTACCTTGGACTTTGACCCCGTCCAAAGAGCGTATGATTCGACCCTCAATGGGCTGCGGACTCTGAGCTAGGTCTCTGTGTCTCGCAGGTATGGCCTTCTAGCCGACGGCTTCGGATGGGGACCCCGGGGTTATCCCACTTCTTCGGTCAGGGGAACCGGGAAGTAGTATGCTTACACAACCTATGAGCACACAGATTTCCGAATTTTTCTCATAAACTATGTACTCTTTGACTAGAGTGTAGGCGGTCGGCTCCACAGATTTCCACGTTACCGCACCATCAGAGCACATTTTTCCCTTTTTGATGACACTTTCGTGTGATGAACAGCAGACGGGGTAAGCCCCATAGTCACGAGGACCTGCTGTTCAGTGATAGAGACCTGTATTCTAAGCCCCGGGACACGTTAGTGGCTAACCACATAAGAGCCCGATAGGTTAGGCGTGGTATTGAACTGAAAGACAACAAAGCTGCCTACCACCAAAGTCGGGTGGCGGTGGTTTAGTCGCTGTCACTGGCATGCTTTGGATTCTACGGTCTGAGGTTTAAGCCCCGCCACTCGACTTTAGTGGTAGGCAGCTTTGCTACCGTCCGGTTCAACACCACGCCTAATCTATCGTGTGATAGCGACGGGATTGTAGAACTTTCCTTTTCTCAGTTTTCCTCCCATTATTTCGATTCTCCAACTGTGTTGCCCAAGACAATGGAAGAAGTTGTGGTTTTGTCCACGTGCGAAGGTAACAAGCACCCGCTCAGGTTGTTCGCAAAACAACACTCGCGCCCCGGTCGCATTTGAAGCTAGCAACTTCCAAACGCTTATGGCCTAAGCTACGTCAACATAGATAGTCGAAAATGGGGGTGCAAACAAAGTAACATTGTGCGTGGCGTATGTGGAAACGTACGAGTTTGCAAATTACTTTAATAAATTATTAAGAAACGTGCCAAAATTACTGCCATCCAGTGAAATTCTTCTGTTGTTGCAAAAGCTATGAAAGAACAGGCAGCTTCAAGACTTATGAAGTATTTGAAAAGCCACCAGCCGATGGGCGCTAAAAACAATATGGTTTTCGTAGAAAAGGTCTTGTACAAACAACCTGTTGTCTGTTCGTATTGATATTGATCAAGGATGACAGCTACGTCATGGACATCATTTTCTTCGATATCATCATCAAGGGATTGGAAGAAGTGTCCCATGACGGACTGTTGTCCAAACTCAGAACTGTGGGTATCGAAAGGCCCATATTTCACTAGGCAACATACTTCTTAAAAGAGATCTCTTCAGTGAAAGTAGAATACAGCCAATCAGTATGATATACTTTCACTAGTAGTATTCCGCAAAGCTCCGTTTTTAAACACATTTACTTAATAAACAGTAGACCCCATAGTCACGAAGACCTGCTGTTTAGTGATTATAACTGGCAACTTAAGCCCGTTTCCCGGCAGCGGATGTTTCTGGCTTTTTTAAACCATCTAAAGTCGGTCCCTAAAACCCCTTGCTTTATCTGTACTGACCACCTGAAGCTCTGGCCTAAAATTATAGCCTCATGCTAATCAGGAGCACCTGCATGTTGTTGTCTAGTACACAATACTGTTTACCAACAACGACATCATAACATCACCTCACACCGATAGAGAAAATAGGTCGAAAACGACGGGCTTCGAGATTCCTCTGCATGCCTAACAGTGTGCGTGAATGCTGATAGATCAACCGAGGCTGGAACTGAAATGGCAAAAAGTTAGTAAACAAAAACTGGCCCAAGTTCACCGTCCAACAGGCGTCTGTGTTAGTGGTGCGCATTGCTTTTCGGGGCTGACGTATCTTGTCTGTGATGTAACAAATTCAGCCACGATACGGGACTATCTCATCTTCTGAGAGACAATCCGGCTCTCGGTGCTATCAGGTAAGGACGTTCTTTTCTTTTTTCTTGGACCAGTGAGAAAAAAGGAAAGAAAAAATCTCATTCAGGTCGCGGTTACGGTCTAACTCACTTCGAACAGTCACAGGTTATTCGCATTTGGGAGGGAGCAGAGCTCTAGCTTTAACCACCATTTTGCAGCAGGGCATCATTCTGTGGTCTACAGCAAACGGGTGTATAAAGCAGCCATTTTCTAGTCCCATACACCGCTGTGCTGGTAAGAATACAGAAGGGCACAATTGCATTCACCTGCCTACAAGTCTGCTTTGTACATTGGCGTATAGTTTAATAAATATATGATTAGACGTGTATATACACGTATGTTCTTTGTTAGCATGTTGTGGTGCAAATGTGAAAGGACTCAACTGCAACTCTTTTGCTCCGTAAGAATGCAACATGACTGCCTTGACGAAGGGCATAAGAGCGGGTTTAGACCAAGGCCAAGTGGTAGTTACCCTATACCAAGATAGATATGCGTACACCGTGCATCCATAGTGAAATTCATT